AGTGGCAAGAACATCTGTGTAGTCACACTTCAGTACTGCAAATCAGGAATCATTTTGACTTCGCCAGCAGAGGGTCAAATTAAACAAATGTTTGAATTTGTACACACCTCTCCTTCAGGATATTAGGTGGGTAAATATATACCCGACAGGGGAAATTCTGAAGTGTTACACATACCAGAGGATGTTAATCTAGGAAAGGTAGACTGTTGAGAGACACTAGACTCTCTCGTAATCTAAGAAAGAGAGAGAGAAGCTTTTTGTGAAAAACGGGAATGAAACTCCTTGGGCCCTGATTAGTGACCGGTTTAGTTTCCCTCTGAACGTTAATCGTGAAGGGAGTTAGAGATTTGGCTGACCCTTCCAGGAAAGCAGAAGCTGGGAATCAAACACGAATCCAATTAGCTAGGATACATTTTGCTCTGCTGAGATCTGTTCGCATTCTTTCAAAAGGTTCCAGATCTGATACTAGCTTGTTCCTGCAGGAATGAAAGCCCGGTATCCAGAAGACCCATAAAGCAGTGGCTTTAACCATTTCAGCTTGTCAGGAAGCAAAGTTGGCTTAATCCCATCCCCTGGGTTTCAGTCAAATGCAGGGATTCGTTTTAATTCCACAATCCCGGAGTCTTGAATAAATGATGGGGCCATTGACTGACTGTTGCCCCATTTTATTGGCTCCTTTCAAACCATTATAGAGTGTTTGCTTCCCCCAGGTTCATCCCCCAGCTAATATTCCAGGTTTCCCTTGGATCTGGAAAGGCGAGACATTTAATCAATCTCAGTTATGAGTATCGTTGTTCAACCATTTTCGGGCCACATGGCTTAATAATAGGAGCTAATGGTGCAATCATCCCAGGTTAAAATTAGAATCATAAAAAGAGGCATTAAAAAGCTCTCGGGTCAGTTCATTTCACCCCAAGACAGAAGCTGCAAAATTCTCCTATTCTTTGGTGAAGTTAATACAGGGGCTTAGAAAATACGTGCTGAATTATGCCTGGTAATAATGATCTCTCTCGCACTCAAGGATGTTCAAGAATCGAAACTGACCTGATATAATTTCTCCAATATTCTACAAAGCACCCGAGGGCAGGACAAGAAGCAACTGATAGGAAACTAATCAAGGAGAGAAGCAACCTTAGAACTAAGGAGAAATTTCCTGAAAGTGAGAACAATTAGCCAGTGGAACAACTTGCCTCCAGAAGTTGTGAGTGCTCCAACATGGGAGGTTTTTAAAAAGAGATTGGATAACCATTTGTCTGAAATGGTCTAGGGTTTCCTGCCTGATCAGAGGGTTGGACTAGAAGACCTCCAAGGTCCCTTCCAACTCTATTATTCTATTCTATTCTATTCTATTCTATTCTATTCTATTCCTCCTTCCTTCCTCTCTCCCTTCCTTTCTTCCTTTCCTTCTTCCTTCCCTCCATCCTCTCTCCCTCCTCCCTCCCAGGAGTCAGTTGCCCGGTGTTTGAACTGACCACAGGGGATGCTACAATGGTCGTAAGTGTGAGAAATGGTCATGAGCCACTTTTTTCAGTGCCGTTGTAACTTTGAACGGTCACGAAATGAACTGTTGTAAGTCAAGGATGCCCTGTATTTGCTTGCTGCGTCTCACTTGCCCTCGAGCTGTCTGCTGTGACTTGTGATATTTGGAGGGTTTTATTAAGCGGCAACAGGAAGGGAGAGGCCAGCTTTGAAATTAACTTGCCAAAACGTCCCCTCAATATTATGAGAATTCCTCCCTCGTTGTTCAATGACCCGACATGCTGTTTGACAACATTAACATAATGGTGCTAAAACAAAAGCTTGCCACTTGGGAGAGGAAAAGCCAGATTACCTTCTGACAAGCATCAGAAAGAAAGAGAGATAGAGGGAAAGGGAGGGAGGGAGGGAGAAGGAAGAGAGAGAGAGAGAGAGAGAGAGAGAGAGAGAGAGAGAGAGAGAGAGAGAGAGAGAGAGAGAGAGAAGAAGAAGAAGAAGAAGAAGAAGAAGAAGAAGAAGAAGAAGAAGAAGAAGAAGAAGAAGAAGAAGAAGAAGAAGAAGAAGAAGAAGAAGAAGAAGAAGAAGAAGAAAGAGAGAGAGAGAGAGAGAAGAAAGACAGAGAGGGGGAAAGAAAGAGAAGACAGAGTGACAGAGAGAGAGGAGAAAGAGAAGGGAGAGAGATAGAGAGAGAAGGAAGAGAACAGACAGAGAGAAGAAAGAGAGAGAGAAAAAGAAAGAGAACAGACAGTGACAGAGAGAGAGGAGAGAGAGAAGGGAGAGAGATAGAGAAAGAGAAGGAAGAGAACAGAGAGAGACAGAGAGAAGGAAGAGAGAGAAAAGACAGAGAGAGAAGAAAGAGAGAGAGAGAAAGAGAACAGAGAGAGTGACAGAGAGAGAGGAGAGAGAAAAGGGAGAGAGATAGAGAAAGAGAAGAGAACAGACAGAGAGAAGAAAGAGACAGAAGAGAAAGAGAAGGGAGAGAAGAGAAAGAGACAGCAAAGAGACAGAGACAGAGAGAAAGAGACAGAGACAAAGAGAAAGACAGCAAAGAGACAGAAGAGAAAGAGAAGGGAGAGAAGAGAGAGACAGAAGGGAGAAAGAAAGAGAAGGAAGAGAGATAGAGAGAGAAGGAAGAGAAAGAGGAGATAGAAAGAGAGAGAAGGAAGAGAGAGAGAGAGGAAGAGAAGGAAGAGAGACAGAAAGAAGGAAGAGAGAGGGGAGACAGAGACAGAGAGAGAAACTGAATATTCACAAATTTCCACTGCCTGTCTAAGATTTGCATTTTCGACAAGGAGAAGCCTTCCATCAAACAGGACATCAGATGGAACGAAGGAAGAAGAAATCTTATTTCAAAACATTTATTTCTCTCCAGCTGGGTTCACGGGCCCTTCAAGCCTCGCTATTCTATACCTTCTATAAAGCAAGCAAAAGGCCTCACGTATCACGATATGCCACAAACATTGGCTTATTCACGACAATGACTAGACGTAAGCAACACAACTCAGATCAAGAAAAATAGCAAGGAAAAATAGCTGCAACCAAGGTTTGCTTTTCCAGTCTCATAAATAGGAGCCCGTTGCCAAGCATCCGAATTTTGATCCCCTGGCCCTGGGGAATGCTGCAACGGTCCTTAAGTGTGAAAAATGCTCACCGTTGTAACTTGGAACAGTCGCTTAACCAACTGTTATAAGTCAAGGACTTATATTCTCCACCTCACAAGCTTGTCCATCTACATTTTTTTCCCCTTCTTCAATTTTTTTTTTTTAAAAGAAATTGCTTTGACAATGCGCCTCTTTCTCTCTGGAGCCTTTCAACTATAATTTCTACCTGCTCTCTTCTGCCGTCTTCTTTCTTCCAGTTAGCAAAACACGCAAACAACGACCTTGTAAAATAATTACTCCACACAGATAGAATGCTGAGCTGCTTAATTGTTAGGAGCAACACAGTTGGTTAAGGGTAGAAACATCTTCAGTCTGCAATTTTCCAAGTTTCTCAGCTCTCCCTCTCTCTCCCCCTCTGTTTCTATTCCCTCTCCCTCTCTCTCTCTCTCTTTCCCTCTCTCTTTCTTTCTGTCTCTCTCTCTCTCTCCCTCTCCCTCCCTCTTTTTCTTTCTTTCCCCTCTCTCTCTTTCTCTCTCTCCCCCTCTTTCTCTCTCTCTCTCTCCCTCTTCCTCTTTCTTTCTCCTCTCTCTCTTTCTCTTTCTCCCCCTCTTTCTCTTTCTCTCCCCTCTCTTTTTTCTCTCCCTCTCTCTCCCTCTATTCCTCTCTCCTCCCCTCTCTCTCTCCACACATTATTAATTAGATTCCATTCATAATCTATCAGTTGAGGTCATGGGTGTCTGCTTCCCCCATGCTACACATCAACACAGTGGTCCCTTCTGGATCTCCTTCTCCCCCCAATTATCCTCCAGGGGATACAAAGGCCAATGAACACCTTGGACCACCCACTCAAAAACAAACCGCTGCTTTTCTAATGTGACACAAATAGCCTTAAGATTTGCAGGATCATCAAGCTCTCTTGGGGGGGTGAGGCAGGGGGAGAGAGTAGAGAAAGGACTGGCTGACTCAGCAGCCAACCTGGAAGAAAACCCATTGTGCCAGCTGTCATTTTCACAGCTGTCTCTCACCATAGACTCTTCTGCCGGTCCTTGAAAGCAAAGGATATGCAACCCGAGTTGTAAACTTGCAAGGGTGTGTTTGTGGGTATGGACCCCCTTTCTGCCACCACCCACGCATACATTCACAATATCTGTCTGTCTGTCTGTCTGTCTGCCTGCCTGCCTGTCTGTCTATTATATCTATCTATCTGTGTGTCTATCATCTATCATCTATCTATCTGTATCTATCTATCTGTTATATCTGTCTGTCTGTGTGTCTATCTATCTATCTGTTTATTATCTATCTACCTACCTATCTATCTATCTATCTATCTCTAGATAGATAGATAGATAGATAGATAGATAGATAGATAGATAGATAGATAGATAGAGCGATAGCGATAGCGATAGCGATAGAGATAGAAATAGAAATAGAAATAGAAATAGAAATAGAAATAGAAATAATAGAAATAGAAATAGAAATAATAGAAATAGAAATAGAAATAATAGAAATAGAAATAGAAATAGATAGATAGATAGAGATAGCAAGAGATAGAGATAGAGATAGATAGATAATAGATAGATAGATAGATAGATAGATAGATAGATAGATAGATAGATAGATAGATAGATAGATAGACAGATATATATAAATACATACATACATACATACATACATATACATACATACATATTATTTTAATCTGGGCCTTTTTTGGAGGTTAGGCTGGTCATTTTTCAACCCACACAATGTTCATGGGTTTAGAACTGCCCAGAATCTTTGGGGAAAATGGGGAATATTGAATAAGTAACTTTGAATGTTTCCAATGCTTACATATGCAAACTCCCTCAGAGAATGTGCCTTTGTCTACACACAAACACATCCTACGCACTCTTCATAAGGAGAGCAGGTGGGAACCCAACCTACCTGAATGTCATCTGGAAGATCTGCCCTTGGTTGACATGTTGGGTCCTGTTGTTGTAGCCATGAAGCATCTCTCCAAAGAGAGTGTCGTTGAAGTTCACATCTGGCTTGAGACACTTGGGGCCCTCACAGATGTCCGACAACAGGAGGCAGGACTTGCCATCTGGAGCTAGCTTGTATTCCTCAACGCAACTGAAGACCAAACACAAGAGAAAAGTCATCAGCATCGCTCCACAATGCAACTGACCAAGTCAGGTCCAGCTAAAGTTGGAAGTTCACAAAAGGGGATCACATGACACCCAAGACACTGACAATCATTTGACTATGAGCCAGCAATGTGCAGCAGCAACCAAAAAATCTAAAACAATCCTGGGTTGTATAAACAGAAGCATAGAATCAAGTACCATTACCGCTTTAGTAAGTAAGACCACACCTCGAATACTGCAGCCAATTTTGGTCACCATATCACAAAAAAGATGTTGAGACCTTGGGGAAAAAATTCAGAGAAGAGCAACTAAGATGATCAAAGCCCTGGAGACCAAAACATACGAAGAATGGCTACAGGACTTGGGTTAGGCCAGTCTAAAGAAAAGAAGAAATAAGGGGGACATGATAGCAGTGTTCCAGTATTTGAGGGGCTGCCACAAAGAAGAGGGGGTCACATTATTCTCCAAAGCACCAGAGGGAAGGACGAGAAACAATGGTTGGAAACTAACCAAAGAGAGAAGCAACCTGGAATTAAGGAGAAACTTCCTGACAGTGAGGACAATCAACCAGAGGAACAGCTTGCCTCCAGAAATCATGGGCACTCAATCACTGGAGATTTTAAAGAAGAGACTGGACATTCACCTGTCTGAGATGGTGTAGGTTCTCCTGCTTGAGCAGGGGGCTGGATTAGGAGACCTCCAAGGTCCCTTCCAGTTCTATTCTATTCTATTCTATTCTATTCTATTCTATTCTATTCTATTCTATTCTATTCTATTCTATTCTATTCTATTCTATTCTATTCTATTCTAATTCCAGGTTCATTCAGTTGGCTTTAAATATAGAATAAAATAAAACAAGGTATAGGGTGTAAAATGTCCCTCTGGCAACCCATGTAGAATTAGGAATACTCTGACGTTTCTTGAAAACCAGGATTCCACCTGACACGTTTCCCCCCCTCTTTATCTGTTCTCCCTTCTTCTGCAAGCTGTAAAGCAATTCACACCTAGGCAGGAAGTGGTGAACCCAACACCCCAGGGAACTGTGAAGGGCTGCAACACAACAAAATTGTTGCCACCTGCCGCACCTGGCAGTGTCAGGATTTGACAGATGTTTCACGGAATTGCTTTTAAAGGGAGTGCTTCTCTGGTGCAGAAAAGTACACCTTCGCATCTGGCTGAAGGTCAAAAAGGAAGTGGAGGTGCTAGATTTTTGCCATGAACTGAAACAGCAAATAAACTGGAGGAAGAAATGCAGGGAAAGGAAGTACACACACACACACACACACACACAGAGGTGTGTCCAAGAGAAGAGTACTGAACAAAACACCAGAACTTGAAGGAGAGAAATATCCCTTATTGGTGAGTGCCCATAGCATAAAGAATGTGGAAGCCTTCCATAAGGGATCCTCCCCATGTTTACAAAATACAGCATATAGGCTTGCACCCTGAGACATAGGTATTCCTTCTCTCCCTGCATTAACAGAGGGATAGAATCAAGTTCACATGAAGTGTTGATACTAATTTATGATGCCTTGGTAATGCCACACTTGGAACACTGCATCCAGTTTTGGTCGCTACTGAGGTAAAAAAAGATGTTGAGACCAGTGGTGGGATTCAAATCTGTGAACAGTCGGTTCTCTGCATGGATGCCACTTCCGGAAGTCCATTCTGGGTCTGGGCAACCAAAAATTAGCTACCAAACTGGTGCAAACTGGCTGAATCCCACCACTGGTTGAGACTCTTTGGAAAGAGTGCAGAGAAGAGCAACAAAGATGATTAGGGGACTGGGGGCTAAAACATATGAAGAATGGTTGCAGGAATTGGGTATGTCTAGTTTAATGTAAAGAAGAATTAAGGGAGACATGATAGCAGGCTTCCAATATCTGAGAGGTTGCCATAAAGAAGGGGGGGGGGGGTGTCAGCCTATTCTCCAAAGCACCTGAAGGCAAGACAAGAAACAATGGGTGGAAACTACTCAAGGAGAGAACCAACCTAGAACTAAGGCAAATTTCTTAACAGTGAGAACAATTAAGCAGTGGAACGGCTTGCCACCAGAAATTATGGGTGCTCCATCACTGGAGGTTTTCAAGAAGAGATTGGACAGCCATTTTCGATATAGGATCTAAAAGCTAAAAGATCTGCAAGGTCCCTTCCAACTCTATTATTCTGTATTCTGCCAAGCCATTGATCTACAACTCTGCCTTAAGCCAACATTTAGAATACACTCTCTTCCGTCACATTTTTCAAAGATCTAGCAAATTTTAAGAGTCAGCTGGGTGCAATAAATATCTCAAATTTGACAAAAGAGACTTAAATGCTTTACCTAGAAGAAATGTGTTTAGTTCAACCAAGTAAACTTTTAGTGACGTCCTCAGCGTGCCTGGAGAAAAGCAGGCCAACAGGGCAATGGCTACGTTTTCTCACCCTGAAGCTTTCAAAATACGTTGGGGAGTAGAGAGTATCCTTCAGTTATAAGGAATAGTTAGAAGCACTCTGCTAATTCACTATTTTGCAACCTCAGAAGCACATCTGTGGCGCCACCAAGTCCATATGAGACCTTGACTGGAATAGTAAGGAGGTAAATAAGATAAGCCTATTCAACTAATTGAATCTGGAGCTCTAGGCTCTGAGTGCTCAAACGGAATTCCTGTAAAATTGAGATAAAAGTAGGAAGGAACGCAGCTAAGAGACTACCACTAAGAGCACTCAACTCCTTCAAAGGGGGTTTTTTTTTTGGCCATGCATTTTGAGGGGGATATATAAAGAATGGAATGGAATAAGGAATAGAATAGAATATTGAATGGAATGGAATGGAATGGAATGGAATAGAACAGGATAGAATAGAATAGAATAGAATAGAATAGAATAGAATAGAATAGAATAGAATAGAATAGAATAGAATAGAATTAAGGAATGGAATTAAGGAATAGAATAGAATAGAATAGAATAGAATAGAATAGAATAGAATAGAATAGAATTAAGGAATGGAATTAAGGAATAGAATAGAATAGAATAGAATAGAATAGAATAGAATAATATTTATATGTTACTTATATGCAAGGGTGTAGGTCTATACATATGTTGTATATAATATGTTTTAAATGTGTGTTATGTATGCGTACACTTGGAGAGGAAGCAACTAAATTTCATTTTTAATGTGTGCCAATGTGCCCACAGGAAAAAAAATGACAATAAAGGTTATCTAGTCGAATAGAATAGAGTAGAATAGAATAGAATAGAACAGAATAGAATAGAATAGAATATCCCCAATTCTATTCAAGAATTGGAAGGGACCTTGGAGGTCATCTAGTCCAACCCCCTGCTCAGGCAGGAAACCCTACACCATTTCGGACAAATGGCCGTCCAGTCTCTTCTTAAAAACTTCCAGTGTTGGAGCATTCACCGCTTCTGGAAGCAAGTCGTTCCACTGGTTAATTGTTCTAACTGTCCGGAAATTTATTCTTCAGTGGGTGGATGATCAATGTTCTAAAGGCTGGGCCCTTCTTTCTTACCCACAGAACATGTGGATGGTGCTGGAGGTTGGGTCCCACAGGAGAGGGAGAGTTTGCTGAAGGCATAGCTGCTCGCAGCCGCCGTTGAAGCCATCTGAGCAATCAATCCCCTTGGAGTAGTCGTAGCAGCCGGTCCCATCCTTCATGGGTCTCAAGTCCTCAGGGCACTGCATGAAGAAGGGAAGAAAAGGAGAATTCAAGTGAGGGGGGAGACCATGGTGTCTGATGCTGTAGGAAGGATGCAAAATGCTGGTGGAATGGGGGACAAATAGCGTTGGTGCACCTGCAAGGAAATTCGGAACACACAACAATGCAGTCCATCCTTAGAGACTCCTTTTGGGGGGGGGGGGTACTGATAAAGGAGATCAGGATTGTAGATCAGGATTGAAATGTGTGTGTGTGTGTGAGAGAGAGAGAGAGAGAGAGAGAGAGAGAGAGGGNGAGAGAGAGAGAGAGAGAGAGAGAGAGAGAGAGAGAGAGAGAGAGAGAGAGAGAGATAAGCCACCTGGGAAAGCCAAGGGAAATCATCAAAACGATTAAAAAATGAAAATTGGAATATTTCGGGACAGGTGATGCGACACCCAGAAAAATACGGCATACTCCATTTCATCCTCCAGGGAAAGATGGAAGGCAAACGAGGTCCAGGCAGAAGAAGAACATCATGGCTTAAATAATCAAAGGGACTGGTTTGGACAAAACTCAGCCGCACTTTTTCGTGCGGCTGCTGATAAAAACAAGATTGCCAACATGATCGCCAACGTCCAATAACGGATATGGCACAAGAAGAAGAAGAAGGAGAAGTGTGTGTGTGTGTGTGTGTGTGTGTGTGTGTCCCCTTGGTGCTCTCTGAGCATGGCTGTTTGCTTGCCGATGTTTCATTAGTTTGAGTAATGAAATGTCTGCAAGAAAATAACCAAGTTCACAGAACCGCAAGGACCCCCATTCTTTGATTTGGCCTAACTTTGGGTGAGTTGATTTGATTCAATGCCTGCGTTTTCCAGGCTTTTACACAACTCTTCAGCACAACAAGAAAGCACAGGGGTCACCCATGAACTGATCAAAGACCTCAAAGCATTGCAGTGGGTCGTGGATGTTCTCCATCAAACAACTCCGAATAAGACGTCTACAATAACCTTTTAACTTGGCGAAGGGACAATTCCACGTTCGGCATCCAAACTAAAACGGAAATCGACTCTGTTCACAAAATATGGGTAAGGCTCTCTGCAAATAGCAGAATAACAGAGCTGGAAGGGACCTTGGAGGTCTTCTAGTCCAACCCCCTGCTCAAGCAGGAAGCCCTATTATCGCTTCAGGCAAATGGCTGTCCAGTCTCTTCTTAAAAACCTCCAGTGATGGAGCACCCACCGCTTCAAGAGAGGCAAGACAAGAAATGGATTGGAAACCAACCTCAAGGCAGGCCTAGAAAAATGAGTAAGTGGTAGAAGATGAAAACATTTAAGGCAAAATGGATTTATCCCCTTCTACTAATTTCCTATTCCAGTTCTCCCTACCCCACCAGGTTTCCTGGACTTCCAAATCTTTGCTTTTCCAGGCAAGAGCAAGCAGCTTGTTGGGAAAGCCCAAAATCAAGGTAGAAATAATTGTAACCAACCAATGCCGTTTCTTAGCATGCTGAGTGAAGTCCAAAATGTGCCAGGCACCAGTTACAAGCCCTGAAACCCTGATGAAAAGTCTAAATATGCTTTAAGGCCCAGAACAGAACAGAACAGAACAAAAGAGTTGGAAGGGACCTTGGAGGTCTTCTAGTCCAACTCCTGCTCAGGCAGGAGACCCTATACCATTCCAGACAAGTGGCTATCCAGTCTCTTCTTAAAAGCCTCCAGTGTTGGAGTATCCACAAGTTCTGGAGGCAAGTTGATAGATTGTTCTCACTGTCGGGAAATTTCTCCTTAGTTCTAGGTTGCTTCTCTCCTTGATTAATTTCCATCCGTTGCTTCTTGTCCTGCCTTCAGGCGCTTTGGAGAATAGCTTGACTCTCTCTTCTTTGGGGCATCCCCTTATATATTGGAACACTGCTATCATGTCCCCCCTCATCCTTCTCTTCTAGACAAACTCATCTTTTCATTAAACTAGACAAAGTCAATTCCTGCAACCGTATGTTTTAGCCTCCAGTCCCCTCATCATCTTTGTTGCTCTTCTCTGCACTCTTTCCAGAGTCTCAGGATCTCTTTTAAGCTGTAGCATCCCCACAATGTAAAAACTGTAGGGGCGCCACGATGCAGATTGCGACAGACACCCGGGGTGTTGGGATTCAAATAGAACTGTTCCCATTTTCTAAGCAGGGAGTCCTTAACACATTTCCTCCGGCCCAAAAATAATTAGCATTTTTAATTTCAGTTTCCTACCAAGCATTTTGGTTAAAGTGGGCATTTACTAGCATTAATCAATGCCTGCTCTTATTAAACAGGACTCTTATCTTCCCCTCCACCCCCCCTATTATTTACTTCTCTGAAACCTGTCCAAGGAGGAGGGGGGGATGGAAAGGAGAAAAGACCACTCTCTTTGGATGGTAGGAAGAAGATAATAAATGGGGCTGAACAATGGCTCAGCAAATGCACGATGGGATTCCTGAATCGGAGCAAAAATCCCAGAAAACCCTGAGTTGCGAGAAATCAACTTGCAAATGGCTTCTTCCAAGCCAAGCCAAGCTAGAAGACAAACACTTTTTAAATAATAATAATTTGCAAACACATTTACATATTTGCAGCCTCTGACCACTTATATTTGACCGTCCCTGTTTTCCAGACTGCAAACCCCAAGGTTTTGCTTTCTTAAAAAATAATAATAATAATGTTTGCACAGAACATATGAACGAAAGTTGCCGAGAGGCAGGCAGCATTTAAATGTAATTTATTATTATTATTTGCTCTGCTGCCAACAACTCATTGGAAATCCCAACCTTGTCTTCTGCCTTCTGAACCAGAATGGAGAAACCTGAAGACCGGCCAGCCCCATCATAAATCTCAACCAGATCTGGCCGTGCAAAGTTCCTGGCGGGATTTCAGGGCTTGCAATAATGTATTTATGGGTTAAATAAACTTGGATCGTGGTGATTAACTTAATATCTGCAGAACTGTTTCCCTGCTTCCAAAATGGGCAGTTCGCTAATTGCAAGTTGTTAATCTTGTTGCTCAGAGGAGGCAGGATGCCAAAGGAGGGGGAGGAGAAAGTTTGAAGAAAACTCTGATCTCGGTTAGTATATAGGTTAGAAATAGGTGATTTTCCTCTAGAATTATGAACTGGACTCCAATGACTTGGCATTAACAGAATAACAGAGTTGGAAGGAACTTGGAGGTCTTCTAGTCCAAGTATCCTGCTCAAGCAGGAAATTCTATATCATTTCAGACAAATGGTTGTCCAGTCTCTTCTTAAAAACCTCCAATGATGGAGCACCTACAACTTCTGAAGGCAAGCCGTTCCACTGATTAATTGTCCTCACTTTTAGGAAGTTTCTCCTTAATTCCAGGTTGCTTCTCTCCTCGATGAGTTTCCATCCGTTGCTTCTTGTCCTGCCTTCTGGTGCTTTGGAGAATAGCTTGACTCCCTCTTCTTTGGGGCAACCCCTGAGATACTGGAACAGTGCTATCGTGTTACCTTGTCTTCATTAAACTAGATATACCCAATTCCTGCAACCGTTCTTCGTATGTTTTACTCTCCAGCCCTCTAATCCTTCTTCTTACTCTTCTTTGCACTCTTCCTGGAGTCTCAACATCTTTTTTATATTGTGGTGACCAAAATTGGATGCAAGTGAGATCTTACCAAGGCATTACAAACTGGTATTTTGCAGAATCTTTCAGGGAAAATATATGATTTTTTTCCCTATGTATTTTTCTACAAAGGACATTTGTAGCTGTTCGAAGCTCATGTGCTGTTCCATCCATCCATCCATCCATCCATCCATCCAACCAACCAACCATCCATCCATCCATCCATCCATCCATCCATCCATCCATCCATCCATCCAACCATCCATCCAACCATCCATCCATCCATCCATCCATCCATCCATCCATCCTGGTGCCATCATACTATCCATACTTTGTCTTCTTCAGCTTTGAGTGTCCTTACCTGGGAAGGTATTGGTAACCCTATCAATGATCTCTATGACTTGGTTGCTGCTACTCATTCCCCCTTCAGGACTGATGGAAAGCTGACCTATTAATGTCCATTTCCTGAGGCTGCCAATAAAATCCAGTTTCAGCTAGGATTGATCAGCCTGCCTCAAAGGGCCAAGAAGCCATAATTACGGTGAGTTTTAATCAATCCTGCAGCAATCCGGCGGCAATTCAATTTGTGATCTGCCTCTCTAGTGACACCAGACCTAGAAATTATTAGAAAATCAATATTCTATTCAGCCAATAATTCTTCCTGGATAATCGTAGGCGAAGGGTCCTTCGTCAAAGCAATCCTGCAGGGACCTTTCTCCAGTTGGCTGGTGGGTATCAAGGAAGGAAAGTAAAGTTTTGGAACATTTGTTTCTGCAAACTATCCAACCGAGCTGAGGGAGATAGGGAGAAAAAGCTGGAAGAAACATTTAGCCGGAAAAATCATTTCTGGATCTTTAGAAAAGATGCAGTAAACATCTCAAGTGAGGTCCATCCAACATGTTCCTGCAACACGTCCATCAGAAGGCCCGAGGCTCATTTGACTACACTCAAAAAAACGTTGCCGATGCTACTATGGAGGGCCTCTGAAGCCAAGATGAAAGGAACAAAATGCAAAAATTGCTCAGGAAACAAAACATCCCCCACCCACCCCTTGTTCTTGGTTGTTTTTCTCTAATTTTCTTCCCCGTCAAAAACGAAAATAATTCCCATTAAGACATCAGATGCGTTTCCTGCTTTCCGAAGACTCCGAATGTTTGATTACAGACCCTGTTTCCAAAACATTTCAGGAAAATGTGAAAGAAATTGCTTAAAAGGTTTTTTTTTTTTCTCTCTCTCTCTCCTTCTTCTCCCTCCATCTTTCTTTTTTCTCTTTCTATTAAGCTTAGCTCTTTTTCTTACTAATACGGGGGGGGGGGGGAGAAAAGAAAACTTAACAGAATGTTTTTGAGGGAGTGTAAATGACCACCTTTTGAAATTAGTCTGTCGCGCTTTTCTAAATATTAGCAACTGTTTTGCCACGAGAGTGTTTTGCTTCATCAAAGCAAAAGAGATGGTTTTGGCACTCCAAAAACAACTGGAAATTAGAATGGAAGAGACAAAAAATACATCCAAACAATGCAGGCAAAACTATAGTAAATCCTTGCAGAAATTATGAAAGGACACAGGGGAACCTCATTGTTGGAAGAATAGAATAGAATAGAATAGAATAGAATAGAATAGAATAGAATAGAATAGAATAGAATAGAATAGAATAGAAATATTGGAAGGGACCTGGGAGGTCTTCTAGTCCCACCCCTGCTCAGCAGGAAACCCTATTCCCTTCCAGTCAAATGTTATCCTTTCTTTTCTTGAAGATCTCCAACGATGGATCATCCACAACTTCTGGAAGCAAATTGTTCCACTCTTTAATTGTTCTAACTGTCAGGAAATTTCTTAGTTCCAGGTTGCTTCTCTCCTTCATTAGTTTCCATCTGTTGCTTCTTGTCCTGCCTTCATGTGCTTTGGAAAATAGCTTGACTCCCTCTTCTTTGTGGCAACTCCTGAGATATTGGAACACTGCTATCATGTCACCCCTACTTCTTCTCTTCATTAAACTAGACATACCCAATTCCAACAACCGTTCCTCGTATGTTTTAGCCTCCAGACCTCTAATCATCTTTGTTGCTCTTCTCTGCACTCTTTCTAGAGTCTCAACATCTTTTTTACATCATGGTGACCAAAACTGGATGCCGTATTCCAAGTGTGGCCTTACCAAGGCATTGTAAAGTGGTATTAACACTTCACCTGATCTTGATTCTCTCCCTCTGTAAATGCAGCCTACAACTGTGTTGGCTTTTTTTGGCAGCTGCAGCTCATGGCTGGCTCCATTCCCCATCCAGACCTAGACAATCTGGTTTGAAAGCTACTGAAATCCTGGTTTAAAAAAAAATCCTCTCTTTGGTGTCATTTGATGTCAAGCCGTAACATCTGCTACTTCCATAAATTAGCTCCATTGTCTATAAAACACCTCAGTGAACACGGATCAGCAGGATAGCAGCTGAGTTTCAGGAACTGGCGGGTAGATTCCTAACAGGTGCCACAAGCTGAAGCGTAACGCTCGGGTAGATCCATCAAGAGTGATAGCAGTAGGCAAGCGGAAAAAAAAATATCTGCATTTTCCATCCGTTTCTCTTTCAGTCGCCTTTGTTGACGGGGCTGCTGGGGTTATCTGGCAGGAAATGTCACTGAAATCCTGAGGAGCACATGCGGGGCGGGTAAAAATCCTCAACTTACGACCACGATGGAGCCTCAAATTTTCTGTTGCCAAGAGAGACATCTGTGAAATGAACCTCGCCCCATTTCATGACCTTCCTACAGGGGATTGGTCTAGTTGCTAAGTTAATAATAGGCTTGTTAAGTGAATCTGGCTCCCCCATTGCTTGTCAGGGGGTCATGGGACCCCCTGGGACATTGCAACGGTCATAAATAGGAGTCAGCTGCCCGGTGTTTGAATTGAACATGGAGGATGCTTCAATGGTCGTAAAAAAATGGTCCTACGTCACAAAGGTGCTTTTTTCAGCAGGACTTTTCTTTGAAGACGTTTCGCATCTCATCAAAGAAGCTTCTTCAGCTCCGGCTGGATGGATGGTGGGGACTGGACCTGCCCTAAGTCCATTTTTCAGCCCCGCTGTAACTCTGAACGGTCACTAAATGAATTGTTATAAGTCCACAAAGAAGAGGGAGTCAAGCTGTTCTCCAAAGTGCCTGAAGGCCGGACAAGAAGCAACGGATGGAAACTAATCAAGGAGAGAAGCAACCTAGAACTAAGGAGAAACTTCCTGACAGTGAGAACAATTAGCCAGTGGAACTCCTTGCCTCCAGAAGCGGTGAATGCTCCAACACTGGAAGTTTTTAAGAAGAGACTGGACAGCCATTTGTCCGAAATGGGACAGGGTTTCCTGCCTGAGCAGGGGGTTGGACTAGATGACCTCCAAGGTACCTTCCAAGTTTGGAAAAATAAATACTGGCGCCACGGCAGGATCAGATTATCACAGTGAGAATCCTCAAAGGTGCATGACAAGCAAAGGGAAGCACCAAGTCTGAAGCTCGGGATGCTGATCCTCATTCTTTGGTTATTATCTTCTACGGTGCCAAGATTTCTGCTCCGGCTTTGGCAGTGAATTGTAGACTCATTGTGGTACAAAAAGAAGTGTACTATATTCAACAGTGTGCAGGATAACTTTGCCCACACCACAACTCTACTCATGTTTAAATATTTCTGTAGCATTTGAGAAGTTGCACGTTGATGAGAGGGCATGCATACAGACAAGGGGCCAAAACAACATTTCCAGTAGCCAATATCCAGGGAATTGCTTTACCTTGTCCCTTGTGCTCTAGTTATCAGCTTTTTACACGGACACTTCTCCTGTTTTCCAAAAGACAGCTGGCTCACCAGGGTAAGCAGCATAAACTCAAGTACCTCTCCCTCTTATTCCCCTGTCTTTTTCCTTCCTCTTTCCCTCACCTCTTACAAGAACCACCCATTGTTATTCCTTGCACAGATGTTCAAATGGCATTTCTCTTCTCAGCCCAAATATCCTGGCTCTTCCTAAACAACTCCTGGTGTTAACTACCATGCAGACATCGGGAACGATTCCACAGAAGAACGAATCCTCTCCGGTTGTAATTAAATATTTCAGTTGTTGCCTAGATAACGCACATTTCTTTTTATTGGTGCCCAAAGAGGAATCATTAGCCATCCTTGTCTTCCTGCTAGATGAAATAGGTAAAGGAAGTTCTCGGAGTAGGACCGCAACGGACCCCAAAATTTCTATTGCTACGTGAGGTAGTTGTTCATGGAATTTTGCCCCGTTCTTGCCACACTTGTTAAGTGACTCATTGCAGCTGTTGAGTTAGTAACACGATGGTTAACTGAATCCGGCTACCTTATTAATTTTGCTTGTCAGAAGGCCCCAAAAAGGGATCGGATGACCCCGGGACACTTCAATCAGAATAGAGCTGGAAGGGACCTTGGAGGTCTTCTAGTCCAACCCCCTGCTCAAGCAGGAGACCCTATACCATTTCAGACAGGTGAATGTCCAGTCTCTTCTTAAAAACCTGCAATGATGGAGCACCCACAACTTCTGGTGGCAAGTCGTTCCATCGGTTAATTGTCCTCACTCTTAGGAAGTTTCTCTTTAATTCCAGGTTGCTTCTCTCTCCTTGATTAGTTTCCATCCGTTGTTTCTTGTCTTGCCTTCTGGTGCTTTGGAAAATAGGTTGACCCCCTTCCTCTTTGTGGCAGCCCCTCAAATACTGGAATCCTGCTATCATGTCCCCCCTAGTACTTCTTTTATCTAGACTGGCCATTCCCAAATCCTGCAGCCGTTCTTTGTATGTTTTAGTCTCCAGGCCCTTAATCATCTTAGTTGCTCTTCTCTGCCAATAAATATGAACCAGCGTCCAAATTTTGATCACATGACCACAGAGGATGCTGCAATGGTCGAAAGTGTGAAAAAATGGTCATAAATTACTTTTTTTCAGCGACGTTACAACTTCAAACAGTCAGTAAATGAACGGTTGTAAGTTGAAGACTGTATGTAAACAAATAAATAAATAATTGGGCTTCTATGGTAGGTATCTAGCATCAGAGAAGGAGAAGGAGAGAGAAGAAGAAAATGGAGGAGAAGGAGGAGGAGGAGAAGGAGAGGAAGGAGAAAGAGAAGGAGGAGGAGAAAAAGGAGAGGAAGGAGAAAGAGAAGGAGGAGGAGAAGGAGAAAGAAGAAGAAGATGGAGAAGGAGGAGGAGGAATGAAATACTGCGAGGTATATGAAATTCCAAATAAATCCAGTTTGCTTTCACTCAAGGAAATTAATACAATGATCTCATATACTGTGTGCAAAAAAAAAAAAAAGCAAAGGGTTATATTTTGAGAGAGATAAACCTGGAAGCACAAGACCCATTTCATTAGAATCAGAAGGGAAGATGGCAATTGAGCAGTATGTATTCCCCAAAAATGATACAATAACTACAACCTGAATATGAGAGAGAGAGAGAGAGAGAGAGAGAGAGAGAGAGAGAGAGAGAGAGAGAGAGAGAGAGAGAGAGAGAGAGAGAGAGAGAGAGAAAGAAAGAAAGAAAGAAAGAAAGAAAGAAAGAAAGAAAGAAAGAAAGAAAGAGCAATTGCATAATCTCAGGAGAAGATTATGTCTTCTTCAAGGAGCTGCAGATGGAGAGAAGGTCTGCATTCCCAAACTCTCTGAAATCCAAGGCCTCCATCTTCCATGGAGCCAAAAGTTGTACCTACCACACAACCGGTTGAGTCCACTTGACGATCCGATACGCATTTGAAGTTGCGGGTACAGCCTCCGTTATTGTGAGAACAATCCCGAACCGGTCCGAAGGAAGAGAGAAGGTCGTTGATGGTCTCAAAATAGGTCGACAACATTGCTTCTTCCCTTGAAGAAAGAAAAGGTCCATTCAAGCCAGCTCAACTCAAAAGTCAAAGAATTGACCATCCTTTATGTAATTCTTTCCCAAATTCCTTCGGTTCGCCCTCTGGCCTCCATACTTAGTGCAATTAAGCCAAAGTCAGATTAATTCCCTCTCTCTCCGTCTGCTCACTCTATTATTTAACGATTTCCCCCTTTAGTAACTCCCTTCCTCTTTTCTTTTCTGACAACAATTCAAATTAGAAGTCTCTTTCAATGTCTTTTGTCATGCATAACCTTAGTAAAGGGTTTCCTAAGTGGAGCAAGATCAATTAAAATACTCAATATATTTTAATCATGACTTCAGAAAAATGACTTCCAAATAAAAGTAGAGATGTGTCCTATTTCCAAGCAGCCAAAGACAATTTATATTTCCATTCCTTATTCTATTCTATTCTATTCTATTCTATTCTATTCTATTCTATTCTATTCTATTCTGCATTCTATTTTATTCTATTCTATTCTGCATTCTATTCTATTCTATTCTATTCTGCATTCTATTCTATTCTATTCTATTCTACTCTACTCTATTCTATTCTGCATTCTATTCTATTCTATTCTATTCTATTCTATTCTATTCTATTCTATTCTATTCCATTCCATTCCATGAGTGTGAAGGAGAGAAAAGCAAAGAAAGGTTGTTTTGGGGACAAAACAGCTATAGAAAAGTATTAAAAAGGGGGGGAAACCATTAAAAAAACTGAAAGAGAGAGAGAGAGAGACGCTGGGAAGCAGAGCAATGAGAATTTTGTATTGTGTCAGTGCAGTTGCGTCAAAAGCGTTTTCCAACTGAAAGACCATTTTTAAGGTGGAAGAACATTTCCTAGGGCTTATGAGAATGGTGTCTGAAAATTCAGTAAGTGCTTCCACTGGGATTTTCCCAACTTCATGCACCACCAAGGACTTATGTTTTCAACTCACATCCTGCTCTGAACTGCCACTTCGATGTTTGCTTCCAGTTTCTTAATTTACCGCTACACAGTTCCATGCAAACCTCTCAAGCATACTACCGCAATTTAGGCTAAAACCCCACCAACAAACAGAAAAGTGGTAGATTTCAGTGAGAAGGGTAAGGATGGAGAGAGAAGATCAATGTGTTATGGCATATGGTCCAGATTCCATACTTGTTAAGGAGTTTAAAAAAAAGGCATTTCAGAGGAGTAGGAGCCAACTTAGTTTAGATAGTTTATGTAAGAGAAAGAGAGCGAAGACGACTCCTCCCTAATAGTTCCCAGAAAGGGCTTCATATAGGTAGCAGTCTGCTTCAGTTTGGCAAGAATCTGTCTATAGGTATAGAACAATAAAGGCATCTACTTACAAGAACTTCCTTTCCTTCTTTCCTTCCTTCCTTCCTTCCTTCCTTCCCTCCCTCCCTCCCTCCCTCCCTCCCTCCCTCTCTCCCTTCCTTCCTTCCTTCCTTCCTTCCTTCCTCTTTGTGGAAAATGACACAAAAACATTCTTTCACTGCCAAAAAAGACCCAAGTCCAAACTGGTGCCAATCTCATAACTACTCATAAAAATCACACAACGTTTGTCTAGGGTTGTGTAGAAGAACCCCGTAACACAACACAGCTTTTGGAATGGGTGACAGAATTTGCCAGGGCACCATAGATCTCACTGTCCCAGTTAGAGAAAAGGAAGTCACGTCAAACAGAAAACCTGGAGCACTTTAGCAAGCGGTACCCCCACGAAACAAACAGGCCCAATTTCCCAAGAATCAAACAACTGGGTGAATTGCGATTCAGCTCACTCAGCTATGCGGGCCAGTTATCCTCCATGTGAAGGACCATGAAATTAAATAAACCTTATGCTGGCTGACAGCTATATACAGGGTTTAGTGAGAGAGAGAGAAAGAGAGAGAACTTTTTCGCTGTTACCTGCAACGTGACCCCATTTTGAGTTGAAAATTCTGGATCCCTTTCCTACAGCTGAACAATAGCGAGGCTTCAGTCAAGAGAAGTTGACGGCGTTTCACAAGAAATGACTGATGCACCAAAAGATTGCGATGGAACCATCCTAAGATTAGAGCAGGCTTCCAAAATTAGAGCATTTGGCTTTAAATTCCACAGTACCCAGCCTGCCTTTCCAACCACAGTGTGGGTAATCCTCAATTGAGCCCAAGACTTTTGTTGAGTTGAGTTTCACCCCATTTTCTTGTTGTTAAGTTGGTAACATGGTTGTTAAATCAATCTGCCTCCAACTACTACTACTACTACTACTACTACTACTACTACTACTACTACTACTACTACTACTACTACCACTACTACTACTACTTCATAATAATAATAATAGTAATAATAATAATAATCATCATCATCATCACACAGTCAGCCAGATGTTCAGACTGGATTTGGCATTTTTATCTACCTATCGAGTCCTTCCCAAGGACCTGGGATAGGCAGATGTGGATGTTTGATGGCATATTACAGATTTCGTCACAGGATGGAAGCAGTTCCTAGTAAGGCTGCCTTTTGCAATTGACTAATGGCGAATTTGTCAATGCCAATGGTGTTCAAGTGGTGCTCCAGTTGTTTTGGGATTGCACCCAAGGCGCCTATTATTTTGGTGCCACCCTTACTTGCCTTTGCCACAGTCTTTCTATTTCTATTTGTAGGTCTTTGTATTTTGTTATCTTCTCCAGTTCTTTCTCGTCTATTCTGCTGTCTCCAGGCACTGCCACATCCACTATCCAGACTTTTTTGTCTTTCTTATTGATGATTGTTTAAGTCCGGGGTTTTATGTTGCAGGTACTTGTCTGTTTGAATTATTATTCAAATCGAACGTGAGGATCCCACTACTGTCTTTTGTGTTTTTTCATGTTGGGTAAATGGATGCATCGGACAATAAACTCATTCTAAATTCTGCCTCTCAACGCAAAAAAGCATCTAGATGCCCCTTTCTTGCTTGGCTTATTAACTGCGGATGAAAATCGTGACACAGAAATGAACTTCGAAAGATATAAAAAGTAAAAATGGCGTCCACCCTCCACCCCCACCCCCCAAATTAGACTGATTTGGCACCTCTAAATTTAGCCGCGCGCAACCTTCTCAGCTTTTAATCCCAGGAAACATTCCTCGTTTAGAAACATCTGCTTCCATTCAACCCGCTTCTTTTAGAACAAAAGTGTGATCCAGATATGTATTTCCACCCAAGCCGGCACTCGGAATATTCTCCCGACAAAGTTTCACTTCATGCCACAACACGTTTGCAAATTTATTAATAACCAAAATTATTAATAGAAGCAAAAAAAAAAAAAACACCCCAAAAACCAAAATAACTCAACCAACAACTTGAGCTCATTTAACATCTAGCAGTCTGCAGCAACTGACAGCAGTTTTCTAGTAATTGAACTATCATTAGCTTAAACATTAAAATATTTTGAACCGTGAAGGGTTATTTGCGATTTAGGGATGCTGCAGCCTCAGAATCCCAACTGGAGCGTGGTGAAATATTTTTCCTGAACACATTGCTATAAATGTAATCAAAGCACTGCATCTACTAATTTGCTCACCTTATCTCTTCCCATCATGGCATATATTTTGAGTATAGGAAATAATTAGTTGGGCTTGGTTGAGCTCTAAAAGCTAAATGGAATGGAATGGAATGGAATGGAATGGAATGGAATAGAATAGAATAGAATAGAATAGAATAGAATAGAATAGAGCTGGAAGGGACCTTGGAGGTCTTCTAGTCCAGCCCCCTGCTAAAGCAGAACCTATACCATCTCAGACAGGTGAATGTCTAGTCTCTTCTTAAAGACTAGGATAGGATAGGATAGGATAGGATAGGGATATAAAATAAAATAGGGATAGAATGGAAGAGAAGATGAATAGAATAGAATAGAATAGAATAGAATAGAATAGAATAGAATAGAATAGAATAGAATAGAATAGAATAACCCTCCTTCTCTTCTTCTCCTTCCCCCAGTCTGCAAACCTCACTCCCTCCTACCACTGATGTTACCTAGTTGGGTAATGAAACGTCTGCAAGAAAACCACCAAGTTCAGAGAGTACCAAGGACCCCACAGTCATCGTCGTCGTTCTCCTCCTCCTCCTCCTCCTCCTCCTCCTCCTCCTCCTCCTCCTCCTCTTCTTCTTCTTCTCCTTCCCCCAGTCTGCAAACCACACTCCCTTCTAGCCTGTTACCTAGTTGGGTCATGAAACATCTGCCAAGAAATCAACCCAACTCAGAGAGCCCCAAGGACCCCACCAATCCAGAATCTCCCTTCTAGCACTGATGATGTTACCTAGCTGGGTCATGAAACGTCTGCAAGAAAACAACCCAGCTCAGAGACCCTGAAGGACTAGGCACTTCCTAGCAGCAAAAGAGGGTGGGCTTCCAGGACCCAGCATCCACTGCCATTGGTAAAGCATCTTGGCAAACCCAGCCAATTTAAGACGTCCCTCCCCCTTCGAGCTGAAGAGCTTCTTTCCTCCTGCCAAAGTCACTGAAGGATGGATGGATGGATTCAGTCTGAGCTGCTCTTTCCCACAGGGGTTGAATGAAACGTCCGCCCGATCAGGCCTGTCAAAACAGATCAGAGCCTGCAAAGTGGATCCAGGTTGTCAGCCTCCATTGTTAGCAGCCGGCCTCTGGTCGCCAAGGGGGAGGACCGGACTGGCACGGAGAGGCCTTTTTCCCAAGCCCCTTTCCACGTTCTTTGAAGGGCTGGTTCTCACGATCCCTCCCTCCTCAGCTGACAATAACAGCACAAAAGCTGATTTTTTTCCCCCCCCAAAAAAGCAACAGCGTTCCAGAAAGAAGCGCGGCTGGCATTCCACTCAAAGGAAAGACTGCGAGAGACTCTTGTCATCAGCTCAGAGACGACAACAGTGGGGAAACACGGACGGCCACAAAAAGAGAACATTGGGATGACACATGTTCCCTGTGATCAATGGGATGGAGGAATGTGAAGAATACAAAAGGAGAGCCGGAACGATGGTGTGGAATCAGAGGTGTTTTT